AATCTAAAACTGGTTGAAATCAATTAAAAGATCCTGGTGGGCTTTCCATAAGAATTTCAGTACTGTCACTCCTATTTTACTTTTTTTTTCCAAATTGTCCTATTGAAGTTCTGTTTGGGTTCTCCTAGTGGTTTGGGGGTTTTGGGGGGGATTTGGATTTTTTTCCAATATTTTTGTAATAAATACCTGTAAAAGTGTTGGAACAAGTTGGTATTTTACTATGCAGTACAAGAAGCACCAGTAAGTAAAGTCTGTAGAAGTGTTTCTGGAGTTTATTCTTAGGTATTAAAATTCACAAAACAAGACGTGCTCAACTGGGATGTTTGCCATCAGCCCATGTTCTGGGATGTTTCAGTTCCCCTGAGTAGAGTATCTGACAGATTTGAAAACATTAGCTCTCAGTCATGGTGTGAGCTTGCTATATGCTTGTATGTGAATAAGGACAAAAGTTTCTCTTTAGAAACTTGTGGGGCTTACAGATATTATTTACATGTATGTTACTAACTCCATACTGAACTAGATACATCCAGGGGACAACAAAGCTCAGAGTCCATGCATTGCATGTATGCAGGCTTCCTCTTCAGTGGGAGAACATCTTCAGTGGGTATTCTGCAGGGAGTTCGTGTACTGCAGAAGGCACGCTTCAAGTTTTTCTTTAAAATGAAATTGTCTTTTTTTTATCTTCTATTTCAGTTTTTGTGTTTAATAGACTATCCATGTGCCAGCTAGGATTGGAAAAGTCAGAAAGGTTCCCAGGAATCTCAAACAAACAAAACACAGATTTCTATTACATTTCTTATCAAGTTACAGAACACAGGTTGTCAAGGTCTTGGGATAAATCCCTTCACACAAGTTGAGACTATGCACTTCCAACAAGCCATATAAAAACTACATATATGACAAATTTTCCTTAGCCAGATAACCCTCAGTGACCTGACTTTTACGTGCATACACTTGCACAGGCATGTCAGCTTGTTCTGGAAGTCTTGATGCTGGCTTGAGACATAGCTGAATTAGACTCTTAACTGGAGTTGTGAGTGAAATCAAAGCACATGTATGGGGATGACATTGTGAATCTACAATGAGAGAATGTAATATTGATTCTTATTTTTTAAGCTCTTACTGTTTGGCTGTATATTACAGCTTTTTGCATGTTAGGGAAAAAACTGGGAAAATTAATTATAGCTGGCCTACATTCTACTCATTAATTATAATTGAAACCAATGGTACATTTGAGAATTTAATACGTTCTGGATTAAAAATCCTGTTTAATATCTTTATCAATGGTCTGGATGAGGGGATAGAGCCTACCATTAGCAAATTTGCAGATGACACCAAGTTGGGGGGGAGTGTTGATCAGCTGGAAGGCAGTAGGGCTCTTCAGAGGGACCTGGACAGGCTGGAGAGTTGGTCTGATTCCAGTGGGATGAGGTTCAACAAGGCCAAGTGCCAGGTCCTGCACTTTGGCCACAACAACCCCCTGCAGCGCTACAGGCTGGGGACAGAGTGGCTGGAGAGCAGCCAGGCAGAAAGGGACCTGGGGTTGGATTGACAGGAAACTGAACATGAGCCAGCAGTGTGCCCAGGTGGCCAAGAAGGCCAATGGCATCCTGGCCTGCATCAGGAACAGTGTGGCCAGCAGGACCAGGGAAGTGATTCTTCCCCTGTTCTCAGTGCTGGTGAGGCCACACCTGGAGTACTGTGTCCTGTTCTGGGCCCCTCAGTTCAGGAAGGATATTGAGGTGCTGGAGCAGGTCCAGAGAAGAACAACAAGGCTGGTGAAGGGGCTCAAGCACAAGTCCTGTGAGGAGAGGCTGAGGAGCTGGAGTTGTTCAACCTGGAAAAAAGGAGGTTCAGAGGAGACCTTGTCACTTTTTACAACTGTGAGGTTGTAGCAAGGTGGAGGTTGGTCTCTTCTCTAAGGTAACAAGGATGAGAGGCAATAGCCTCAATTGCATCAGGGGAGGTTTAGATTGGATATTGGGAAAAAATTCTTCACTGAAAGGGTTGTCAGGCATTGGAAGAGGCTGCTTAGGGAACTGATGGAATCAGCATTCCTGGAAGCATTCAAAAAATATGTGCACAGGACACCTGGGGACATGGTTTAGTGGTGAACATGGCAGTGATGGGTTAGTGGTTGGACTTGATGATCTTAGGGGTCTTTTTCAATTAGGTGACTCTATGATTCTAAAAGCCCTGCTCAGCTGACTTCTGAGGTTCACTTGTTCTTTGGGTCTTCGTGCTTGTGAACTTATTTAAATATGTGAGCTCAGACTCACGAGTTGCAGTGGTATCTGAACTTACCAGATTGGTTCAGTAAGAGTTCACATGTCCAGCCTGTCTGTCCAGCTGTGTGCAGGTTTCTCCTGGAATGCCAGAGTTCCCTCTTGGTACTAAGAATACCCAGGAGGAAGGAAATGGCAGAACTGAACCCATGATTATTTTGTTGTAACTTCATTTTGTATTTATTTATGTATTTCAGTAGCTTACCTCATGTCAAACAATATTTTGGGGTTTGTTCCCGAAAATATGCGTGCATTTCCAAATTTTACCTAGTCCATGAGTTTTACATGAAATGATGCAGCTACCTAGCATTCTTTGTGATAAGATGTGGTTAACAGAACCTGTGCTGAGGGACTGCATTTGGTCTGCGTGGATCTGTGTTTGTGGATAGCTGACTCAGCGTGTAAGGGCTTCCATTGTTCTGGCAGAGGAGCGGAAGCAGAGTCAGCACATGTGGCTGAAATATGCACTGGTGACTTACAGTAGTATATCCTGAGCCCTTTGAAGCAATGCAGCTTTATCAAAACCACAAAAGAGCCATAAGGAGAAATCCTGCATCTGTATTTTAAAAGCCTCAGATTGTGTGTTATATTTTACAAACGTTTTTCAGTGTGTTTTTGAATTGGCTTAAAACAACTAAATGTGGAATGTTGTTTGTAATGAAACCTGGAGCTGCAAACTTCTGAATGGAAAGCCAAGTGAATCATGGGGAAGTGCTTTTTTCAGATTGTTAGTGTTTGAATCTTGATTTTAAAGACAGTTTATTGCCATTTGTGGCTTTTGTTGTTATTGAAACACTATATGACTTAGCCAAAAATATAGAAAATCACAAAAGCAAAAGAGCCCTCATCATTGGCAAAGATATGCTCAGTGGGTTAATAAGCCCTGAGAAGAAATGGAAGGGGAGACATACGAAACAGTAAATTAAAAGTGTGTGCAAGGGAACATTGCTGATAAAGCTTTCCACTTTCAAGAGAGCTGAGAAGGAATGTAACCAGCAGAACAACACAGATAAAAATCCCAGATAATTTAATAAAAAGGCAGATTTATATGCATCATACAAAATTACTGTACATGCAAATTATTATATTAGTAGGTTCCAGTGGTATTCTCAATTTCATATTACATAGGAAATATCTCAGGAAGGACTGTGCTGCAGCTTGTAATCAAATGGAAGGCTGGTGATGAGAAGGGTGGTCAAGGGCTGGGTGGGCAGCAGAGTGCACTTCTTAATTGACTGCGAGGGGCTGCTGCAGTTCTCAGCAGGCTGCTGCAGTTTTCCCGCCGGGGTTTTGTCCAAGAGCACCAGAGCAGGGAGTCTTATGACACAATGTTACAGAAATTAAAATTTCTTCAGCTTGATTCTGGAAAAGAACAGGACAGTATGGTATTTGTTTCCTCTTTTTGTTATCTCTGTTTAAAATGGATAAGGATATAGTACCAACTTGGCTGTGATTTTAGTGGGGGCAGGATTGGATCCTTCTCAAATGAATAGCTTTTACGCACAGGTGCTCGTCATATGTGAATTGCAATGTAGTTCCATTGACTGTAGGTAAGTTCTGGACCCTACACTTACTGAATGGATAGTTTTTATTTTTAAGGTCTTTCCAGCAAAACCAAGAATATTTTGGGTTGGGGGTGGAATGCTTAACATAGTTTTATTTCAACTATTGAGGTTTTTTCAGTTTACTAAAATGGATGTTCCTTTAGAGTATGTGAACCACAGTAAAAGTCCATTAGAATCTGCATACTGTCTATGGAGATTGTGGCTGAATTAAATTATGAGAAATCAATGCTGTTAAGTAAATTGTGGAGAACTGAGAAGATTGGCTACTTTTCATGGCTCTCCATACTGTGGAACTCAATATACTTTCCTAGTCTCCTACTGTTGCAACAGAAGTACACAAAATAATATGCTTAGGACAGTGGGACTATTTTTGTATTTATAGTTAAATATGTAAACAAAGAACTAGGATATAACTCTGTAAAATTAAGCATACATGATTGCTTATTTTATATTACTCATTACTAGAGTGTTCTAAAAGGCTAAAGTGAATATGGACATCTTAACTAATGTGAAGTCCTGTTTAATGGAAATAGGTAATCATAGTATACATGTCTCCCATAGCACATGGGGAATTGATAAATTTATAATTATGTTTTGATTTTAACCAGTCAAATGTGAGTGTCATGTTCTGCTCATACTCTGTTTTTCCTCAACACTTTCTATACTTTTTTACTACATAACTTAACTATCATTGGAAGTAGAAGTGTATTTAATTTTTTACCCATTGTGAGGTAGTGCTTCTTCACAAAGGAAAGGAGATCTGTATTTAAATGAAATGTCTTTCTTCCCATCTAACTTGAGTTAATCATATAAGCTTCAAGATCAAGCTTTAAGTATAACCTTTAATTAATTGCATTTTGAAAATGCTTCTTAAACTTTAAGAGGTTTTTTTTTCTCCTGAGACCTGTCAGTGCTTGCCACAAGGAAGCAATGGGAGGCTGGGGGAAAAAAGTACAAAGTCCTTCCAGGACCAGGTATCTACTGGCAGGGGACATTAATGGCCTTTTGATTCTCACATCTTTCGCATTCCAGTGTCAGAGGATTTTTAAAATAAGCAGTCTTGCATCATTAATATTTTATAGTTTATCCAGTTGTGTCAGGGTGTGTGTGCAGGTGTGTGTCATCCCAGCATCTGCTGCTCTCTCCCCAGAGCCGCCTCAGCAGTCTGGAGAGCTCAGCTAAGTTATCCCTCAGCTTGGTGACACTGAGAAGACCAAAAAGTACTGCCCTGCAGGGAGGAAAAACAGGAGGCTTCCAGCTGCTTCAGCTACAGTCAAGACCTAGCTGATGATCTCAAGGGCTCGAACTCTGTGTTTGTCACTGCACATTGGGAGCATCCCCATTTGTTCTGAGCTCTGTGATCTGCTTCTGCAGTTTTCTAGTTTGCTCTGCCTGTGCTCCACTCTTCCTGCTCTGGTTTCACAGCTGCCAGAAAACCCTCATCACAAAACAGAATAAATGCGTGAAACCTCTGATGTCTCTGTGTGGCAATTCCCCACTATGCTCTGAGTTTCCCCCATTGCTCATTTGCCACGTTGTCCTTGTGGGTTTTTTGCATCCAACTATTCAGATCAAAGTGATCTCTTCACAAGTCTGCCTAGATTTATCTGCAGATTTACGTTGTGGTTTTTTGCTCATTTATAGAGATCTGGTCATTTGATGACAATTAGACCACTCAACAGTGCACATTTGATCTTGGTCAAATACAGACATAGGATTACGCTTGAGTGGAATTAGTTAGAACCCATGGTAAAGTTCCTGACAGCTTTAAGTTTTATTTTGCTGTCTGTGGGATAACAAAAAATACACAATCCAACATAAAGCTTGCCAATCCAAAGTGTGCGCATCAATGTTTTTGGAATGCATGATGTTTTTTGGTCAGATATCGTACATCTAGAAGTGTCCTCTTTTCAGCTTCTCTTCCTGTAGCCTACTTGAAGGTAGAGCTGCTTTTCTCTCCGTCTAGATTCTCTGTAACACTCAACCTCACACAAAGAGAGGTCCTTTTCAGGATGATGGGTTCCACGTGCTTTGTTTAGTATGTTCTATGGTGCCTTGTTTAATTAAGGACTTCACCAAAACCTTTCTACTCTGAACTTTCTGAAGCAAATGCTAAGGGATTATCCATTCCATTCAAGATAACTGACTGATCATCGCAGCATCTGCTATTACCCACAACTGCCTTATAATAGGGCATAAGAAAAGCATAACCCATTTTCTCTAGATAGACTATTTCAAATTTAAAAAAAGAATGTCTGAATACTTCTTTGTCCAAAACAGACCTACAGGGAAGAATCTCAAGGTAATATTAGCCAACTATCACAGAATATTCTGAGTTGGAAGGGACCCACAAGGATCATCAAGTCCAAATGTTAAGTGAATGGCCCATACAGGGATCAAACCCACAACCATGGTGTTAGTGGCACCATGTTTTAGCCAACTGAGCTAATCTCAGGGTATACTAGGAAAGCTACTTCAGTCTTATGAGGTGTTTTATCATCTAATACTCTCATGACCTCACACTACTTGATCTAACCCTGCCTTCAAGACAGCACTTGCCCAAGAAGGACCTTGTTCTACTGTCTGCTGAGAAACACAGCCCTTGGGTTCTTATGCTTCTCTGCTACATAGCGTACGATCACCTTTCCCTTCACAGATCCTGCTATCCCTCAGTCCTCTTGCCAAGGTGCAGGATCCCAAATGAGCCTCAGCACCTGGTAATGGTCTTATGCTCTGACACTGAGAGAAGGGATACTGCTGGTAGGAAAGAGGACAGATAGCCCATTACCAACACTGCTTTTCATTCCTGAGCAGAAAATGCTAATATCACTTGAATCAAAGTATTTTAGTAATTACAAATTTTGTGGCCAAAAATACCATTGTATATAAGCTAAACCTACAGGAGATGTTTGGAAGGGCTCTGCTGCTGAGTCAGTGGCCAGCAATCTGGTGAGGAATTGTTCTCTTCCATCTGCCACATGGAGAATGAATTGCATGTCATCTCTGGGCACTGGCCCAATGTCAGCATTTTGCATACTTGCTACTGGTTAGCAGATAGCTGAAACACTTCACTCACTAACAGTACTAAGGAAGTTATCCAAAACATTGTCATTTCTGTTTCCACTGACTATCTGGAGACCACTGAGAAACTCATCCTATTTGCTTTGTTGAAAGCTGGATTTCATCTCTAGCATGGGCAGTGGGCTCCTATTAAGGATTAAGGGGACTTCACATTAAGGGGACAGCCACTGCCAGTCTGTGGCATTAAGTCTTGCTGTTGTCTTTCATGAAGGGGCTGGGCAGGTCTGGTTTGGTGTAGTAGTTCAGTTTTGCGATTAATATTTTATTTTGTATTGAGAAAAAGGTTTGCTTACAATTTAGCCAAAAGAAATAACAAAGCTCACTCCTTTCTTCACCACATTATCTTTTCAGAAGCCATCTAGTCAGGCTTGATTGAGTCTTTAGATAGGATGAAATCAAGAGGATTCATTAGTCTTTTCCTTTGGTGGATCCAGATGAATCATTTGTTGCATCTTGCATCAACAGTCAACGAAATCTGAAGGGTGACAACTGAGTAGTTAAGGTTAAAAATTGTGTGTGTTTTTAAACAAAGGCCAAATAATGGAAAGTGATAATTACTGTCAGGTATATTTTTTCTTGTACTTTTTCTGCCTGAATTTGTGAAGACCTTGTTGGGTACAGGGAGGAAAGAGATAAAGGAAACTTGTAACTGTGAACATGGACAGAGGGTTCATGAGAAGAGTAATTGCCAAAACATGTTTAAATACAATTCAGAGGAAAAAGCTTTAAATGGGAACGGGATCTACTTTAAAACCATCACCAGAGTCAACACAGAAGCAACAGGAGAGGCCACTTCTCAGGTAATACAGTTGCGGCTATACCCTTAGTGCAAATTCTTGTGAGACACCGTTTAGTGGTGACATACTATAAAGACTCACAAAGATACAGCCATTAAACATAAAGCTGAAATCAGAGGAGAGTTAGTCAGAAATATTCCTCTTTTGAGTTAAAACTACACCCTCCTTTCTTCTTAATATTTCCTTATGTCTCTCATCTTTTCTTATCTCCAGATGGCTTCTTTTAATGGAGAGCATCTTGTTGGAGGAAAAATAATTGGGGTATTTGTGTATGTATAAATTTATGTAGGACGTCTCTAAAATGGAAAGGTCAACTTTCTGATGATGTAAGCTTTAAGTTGTAGCTTTGAAGTATTTTACTTGCTACTATTTAAAAACAGCCACAAATATCTTGCTAATACTTTCCATGATAACATGGAACAGTTCATAGGAATGAGGGTTTTGTTTTGATTTTTAAAAGATTAGATAAGATGGTGTCAAGTGCTACTTACTCTTTATGCAGTACAGATGTTATTCCCTGTCCTTGAATTTTTCCATTTACCTAAAATGGATATATAGTATTTTTGGAGAGATAGTTATCTACACAAGCCAAACTTAAAATACTTCCCCTCAGAGAAAGGGGAAGAAATAATTATTGAGAAATAACATTGTTCACACTCAGAAAAATGCAACGCTAGTGCTGCCACTAATTAGTGGATATACTGTATAACAATGAGCAGCACATAATGACAAGCATTCTGTCTTGCTCTTGCCCTCAGTTGCTTTATGAAATAAAAGCAGACCCAGGTCTGTACTTCAGATTGTAATAATTCCAGTGTTCTTGTAAGGTTCCAAGTTTAAAGCCCTGAGAACGGATGTAATTTATTCATGTATGTACTCTATACATCATGAACAGTAGCAGCAGTGATAATTTCTCCCTCTATCATGCCAATAAGCCTTTAGAGACCACTACCAGGATGGGTGTTGGTCATATTTATTGGGCTTATGGCTAAGAACATCTGTGCAATCAAAATGTCCATGGCCACTATCATAGTGACAGAGAAAGCCATTGGCCATCCTTGTGAATTATCTCTACTTTAATCTGTAGAATAAGAAAATGAAACTCTACTCTCCTTTTATGAAAATCTGAAATGTATTTGTTACAGTTTTAATTTCAGAAACTGTTGCTTAGGTACAACCTGAGAAGAACTGCTTTTGTCTTGCCCCCCCAGCTCTCTGCAGCCCTTTACAGACACAGAGCCAGCACTAGGACACTCACAGTGCAGCATTAGGAGGTGATAGAGCCCTCTGACAGCTCACTGTCTTATTTGCTTTGTATAAACTAAACCCGAGATCATGCAGTCTGTGGCAGGGGCCAAAACTGCCCCTTTTCTGCCTCAGTGAGCTCTAAGATCGGTTCTCCTTCTCCCCAGCCCATGTGTGTGGAGTTGCTCTTTTCCTCCTTTTTTCATTTAATAACATAGACTAGTGGAGCAGTGTCAGCTTTAAACCCAGAGATGATTCCACTGGCTGTAAGTGTGCAAGTATATGCAAGGCACAGAGTAGCTGTCTTGATGACTGTCTTTGGGCAAAGAAAAGAGCTGAATTTGGCACTTAAACATCTAACTTTGAGCAGTTGAATTTTATTGCGAAGAAGTGCAGAACAGACTCTATGCTCTTCTGTTACGATTTTGCAAATCTAGTTCTTCATGTTGTTTCTATGAGGGGGTGGAAAATAAAGGGCTTTTTGTTTTGGGCCCAGTGGATTATTTCCTGTGAAATCTAAGCCTTTTTTTCTTTCCTAGTTCTGTGCCCTTCCTCCAAACTGAGGAAAATTAGTTGTTTTCAGGCAGCCCCACACCCACTGAGTAGGGGAGTGTGTTCGCAGGCAGCTCAGCCGGAGCAACAACGGGAATGAGTACCTTTCCTGGCTAGGTGGCAAGGAACATCCCCTGACCTGCCGGAAACATGCGTCTACCATTTAGGTGTTTTAATTCTCTTCTATGGCAGTCTGATTTCTGGAAGTAGAGCTGCTAGTGTGTGATGTCAAATACCACTAGCTAACACGAATGGCGAGCCTGACTGGAAGAGTAACATTTCACAGAGGTTTCCGATGATTTTTTTTTTGCATGATCCTCTAATGTTAGGCATGACTTCGATGCCAGGATGTTCCCAGAAAGTTTTAGTTACGAATCCTGTCGTCAGCGCCGAATTACGTGGACGGTCAGCGCGGCGCGGCCGCGGGCGGGTGTCTGCGTTCCCGGGCGCGGTGCCGGAGGGTGAGCCCGCTCCCTTCCCGAGCCCGCTCCCTTCCCGCCCGGCGGGAACGGGCGTCCGGCAGGGGCGGAGCGCGGCGGGGCGGACGCGGCCGGGGCCCGGCCCTTTCCTTTCCTCTCCCTTCCCTTCCCACTCCGCGGCTCAGTCGGCGCCGCCACGGGCATTCGTCCCCGGCGCGGCGAGCTCGCAGTCCCGCCGGCTGGGGCTCGGCCGTGGCCGTGGGGGAAGCTCTGGGAGGCCGGGCGGCTGGCTCCTCTCCCGGCGCATGAGGAGCGGCCGGAGCCGGGGCTCGCCGGAGGCCGTAGGATGTCACCATTGTTCAGCTGGGTGGCCAAGGT